ACAGAAATACACTTGAGGATAACTGTTTCTTTAATGTAATGTTGCAGGTTTCGGAAAGTACAGACATAGTTGGAACTGCCATTAAGTGCTTGGGTTTATACCCCCCACATTTTCAGCCTGCAGTCGAAACTATTAAAAAAGAACTCATACCCACACAAGACTTTTCGTGGGTGCCATATGTTGCTTTATGGCATAGAAGGCACTGGGACAATCTTCATAGCATTGGCACTCAATGGTTTCGCCCAGACCCGTTATGTTGCAAGCAGCATGATCAACAAAAGCTTTATCATACTAGTAACCTAGACATGGTAGGATTATCAGATGTTTCTCTGTGTTCAGTTAATCAAGTAAATTTGCAGTGTCAAATCTCGTTGTCCGAGTACAATGGACAATACACTTCACTGTCTGAACTAAAAAATTCTGGGAAAGATTATCAGAATTTGAGAGCTGGACTCATCTTTGCTCCACATGGTTCCTCACGAAACATGCTACTTGTGGATAGAAGTTCTACAATGGCTTCATTCCACCGTGGGGAACAAGGTTGCGAGCGTACAGACATTACCTTGGAGCAACTGAAGAGGTCATGCTGCCAAAGGCGATAGATTACTTCTACCAAAACACTGAAGCGACAGTCTACCAGATGCTTTGGAAGCCTAGACATGGCCATACATTCAGTTTGGCAAGACAAGCATGGAGACTCCAGGTGCACAGAGAACGTTTAGGGGAGCTAGGAAAAGAAAACTGGTGCAACAAAAGGATCAGGAACTGCAGCATCGGACCCTTATGATCTCTCACTTGATCGGCTTATGGGGTGCACATGCGCCCGTTCGGCTGCAAGGCTTGATCATGGACTGGATTCAGAAAGAAAAGGAAAGTCAGTTAGCAGCACCAGTGCACTGCTGCACCTGAAATTCTAAATCATGTAACCTGGAGAGATAACGGGACGCGAATAGGGACAGAGAAGACCGGAAATCGATTCTTGTAGGGAAACAGAAAAAAGGTTGGATTACTACTAAAAGAAGAGTGCAAATCTGTCAGAAAAATCGAAGTGCAGATATACTGGGGGATATAATTTGGATCAAATGCTCTGTTTCCTTCGTTTGGCACGGGCGGACCTCCCAGCTCGGTGCGGCTATGCTCCAACACGACACGGCGGACCTCCCCGACGCTGGCGTACCTCCTAGGCACGATGTAACGAGCTTGTACATGAAAGTATGACATATCAGTCCCGTATATCATTCTCTCCTAAAATGCATTTGCTTGGCCTGTATTTTAGGTAGTGATGTTGAAGAAAACATCAACAATTAGTATTATCAGAATGGGTGCCTACCCAATAGACATGTAGGGGCCTGTTTTGGGTAGCATTGCTGGAGATGCTATAAGTGGTCCACCTCTATTAATATCATTTATATAGATAGACATGTTATGATGTCTGCCTCTCTTAACTTTTAGAAATAAAAAAAAAACAAAAGAGTGTATCTAGGATTTAAACCCATGATCTCTATTCCTATATAAGAGCATCTCCAAGTGTGTCCAATAATGCTTCCCAATCCATGCATGATTTTTGGAAAGAATAAAAAAAATCCATCGCCAACGAGTCTCAAACTCACCTCCTAATCTTTTATTGGCACTTGCGGAAAAACCTCCCTTGCGTGTAAAGATGCGCATACTTCAGGTCACGTGCATCCTCTCTTGCGGCGATCCAAACGCCCGTATCCTTCAGCCAATCTAAATTGGAAGGGCGGAGAAAAAATAAAGAGTAGAAAAAGGGTTCCTAATGCAAATGTACAAGAGAGAAAGAATATATAAAAGCGGTTAGGATGATTTAGATATAGTATAGGATTCCTAATGTAAAATTATCTTTTATATTTTAGGAGTGAATTATTGGAAACTGTTGGAGATGATCTTATTTATTCCTCCCAATACTTTTTGGTGAGTTGAAAAACTCCATGGTTTTTGGAAGAAATTTTGGGAACTCTTGGAGATACTCTAAGATATCTCGACCATTGCACTACACACGGTACACACTCAACCATGAGAGAGTATAGGATGTTATCTTTTGTATGAATATTTTGTAATTTTGTGTTATTTTCACCAATAAATGATCTCAATTGAAAAAAGTTTAAACTAAAAGGTTTTAGATATTGTCAAGAGTCACAATTTTTTAATACGATCATGATTGTTCAAAAATTTAAAAACATTGAATGTCAAAATATGATAAATTTAAATGAATATTTGAGACTCTAAACGACTTCGAATAGAAAACTTGTCAACTAAAATGTTGTAGAACACACTACCTACAAATTTGGTATTGACCATTGTAAACATTCAAGATCGTTTGATAATTTTAAATTTTGAATTTGAAAATCTAAGAATTTCAAATATATATTTTGGACTCTAAACAACATCAAGCCAAAAACTTGTCTACAACAAAGTTGTAATGCAATGAGAACTAAAACTTTGGTGTATACTATGTCAACATCCGAGATCATCCAAAATTCTTAAACTAAATTTCAAATATTGAGAAATTAAAATGAACTTTTGAGGCTCTAAACAGTTTCAAATAATAAACTTATCAACTACAATGTTGTAGATCGCGTTGACCTCTATCATTTGGTTATAATTTTTCTTCATCCAACTTTATATGAAAAATTTATGATTTATTTTTTATGCAACTATTTCTATAGGTAGAGCTCTCAATTAATCGATTTCTAGAAGCAGTAAGAGCGGTCTCTCTATTAATCGATTTCTAGAAGCAACTTTTGCCTCTGTTAATAGCCATTTTTAGAGGCCTCCTTAGGATGACTGCCTCTGTAAATGATTAATAGAGGCAAACGTTTGCATGAAACCCACCAGACTATTTATAGAGGCAACTTCTAGAAATGCCCGCCTCTGTTAAAATCCTTTCTATAGTAGTGATATTTTCATGTTATCTAAACCATTGAGAGGTTAAGCGCTTTCAGCTTTTGAAAAGAACGCTTCAGTTTCAGGCATCAAAAGTAAAACATGAATGCATTGTAAACATGAGATGATGATAGATTTTAAGCACTGTAATTAGTATAAGAACAAAACTAAAAAAAACTGTCTGGCACCTAAGTCTTCGGGTGTACAAGACCAATAAACTGCATTTACAAATGAGGTTAATTATGAGTTAGGGAGAGATAGAGTCAAAGGAGAATGTAGAAATAAGCAGGATGAGTTTTATTAATAAATATATACATATAGCAAATAAAATATTTATTTATAGAAATTCACCAAGTTTGATAGTGGTCAACTTGGTCGGCATTGTGCGTGGAACAAGACTGGCTTTGGCACCTAATCGGCCGTATCGTGCCATGATTTAAATTTCAAATTTTGGAGAAGACGAGGTCGTCTCCATGTTTGTATGCTCTCACTCACAAGATTCTATGCGTAGACAGAAGCATAAATCTTTATATCATAATGTGCAAAATTTTGAATTTTAATTTTTTCCTAAAATATATTCACAATGGATCTTGAATTGTGCAAAAAAATCAGGAGTTCAATGGTGAAAACTATTTTTGAATCGGATACTTCGTTGAAGAATTATAATAAAAAATAGAAGAAATTGGATTGTGTTGCATGCATGCATGCGCGCGCCAACCTTGTCAGGTTGTGTTAGGTAGAACGTCCAGCTCATGGAGAGGTTTTTACGTGGTAACGAATTAATTTTCATTCATCCAACTACTAATTTTTATACATCGTCCCCACCTGCGCATGCGTGTCAACTGGGCAAACCTAAATGGTATACCTAGCCATGCAGCCCGCGGGCTCGTGGCCCGGCAATTTGGCCCGGCCCAAGCACGGAACGGCCCGATGGCCATCGGGCCCGGGCCGGCCCGGCCCGAAGGACCAAGACGTGCCTAGGCCGCCACCTAGGCCCGCGGCACGGCACGGCACGGGCACGGCCTGGTGAAAGAGGCGGCCCGGTGAGAGGCCTGGTGCCTCCAACGGCTAGTGAGGCAGGCCATAGGCAGCCTAGCCCACGAAGCCGCCTCCCCCGCAGCCGTATATATGCTGCCCCCTCGGCCCGCCGCCCCCCCCATCCCTAACCCTAATCCCACTCCTCCGCCGCTCTCGCATGATCCGTAGCTTGTCTCGTCGCTTCGCTCTCGATCCACCACAGGAGCTCGCCCGCCGCCGCCTTTGAGCTCGCCGGCCGTGCTCCGGTGACCTCGTCGCCTCTTGTCCACCTCGACCTGAGTTCGCTAACCATCTCCTCCCTCCTTTCCCTTCCTATCCCCTCTTCCCCCCTCCTCCGGTGTACCATGTGAGTTCGTCGTGTCTGTCCTTCCGCCGCCGCTCACCGTCGTTCTAACTGTTGTCTGTCTCCTCCTCTGGCTGCCTCCCTGGCCTCTTCTCCGGCACTGGGCTCCGGCACTGTTATGGTTGTCGGGCTGTGGGCCGACACGGCACGGGGAAAATGGCCGTGCCCAACGGACGGCATGGCACGGTCAGACGGCCCACGGGCCGTGCCATGGGCCGTAGGCCAGGCACGAAGCCCGTGGAGGCACGGCACGGTAGGCACGACGGCCCGTCGAGGCACGACCCCCATCGGGCCAGCACGGCCCGTTGGCCATCTATAATGGTTGGGCTTGGTGGGAAGGGGGGCTGGCTGGAGCTCTCTATTAGCTATTGGAAGCTCCGAGCTTGTAATAGGGGGGCCTGTAAAGCAACAAACGTTTCCACTTTTTAGATCCTAAACCCTATAATTATTTTTTGGCATCTTAGAGTTCCTCAAATCCAATTGTAGCTTGATAACTCAGTACATTCTTCTGAACTTTTCATGCTTTCACATGAGAACCCAAGAAACATGACTGAAACAGTTCAAAAAGTTCCTGTGTTTTGCATTTGCCACCTCGAGTTCTTGAAGAATTGCAAAACATACTCTTTCTCAAACCATCAAAATCCGATTACATGTACTCTCGACAAACTATATGCTATCCTAGTTTTTCAACTGAACCTCGTGCATGTTCCCTATTCTAGTATCCCACAGCTCGGTGTTCTTCTTCCCTTGTGAGCTCTGAATCTCCTGCGCGGGGCACGACAGACTTGGATTTGGTTAGGGTCACGAGCGCCTGCGGAGTGGCGAGGTGGAACCCGCACTGGGGGCAGTGCAGCTGGGCCGCCGCAGCCGGGGCGCCGGCGGCTGTCGCCTTCAGTGCCAACGCCACCCCGGAGCTCTCGGCATCCGCCACTGCCATCCTCATCTTCTTGTGTGCGCGCGGCGACGCCAACAAGTCCTCATCATCCGCCACCACCGCCTTGTTCTTGGGGCTGGGTGCCACGGCCGTGATCATGCCAGAGACCTCGTCGTTGCCTGCCGCCTTCTTCGTGAGAAGAGGCGCTGTCATTGCTGTGGCCGTGGCCACGCCGTCCGAGTTCTTGCTATGCCGTTGCCATCTTGGCGTCATGGTGTTGGAGTCCTCGTCGTCGACCGCCTTGCTCTTCCCGCAAGAAAAAGTTGTTTCCGCCGACAGCGACACGACGGTGGCCACGTCATCGTCGCCGTTGGGCACCACTGCAGGACCACGGTTGCGCGGGCTGCGGTACATCTTACACAGGACCAGGCCCTCGACTTTTCTACTGCGGCCGTTCTCGTCGTGGTTGTGGAGGTGGAACTCGGCCATGATCCAGCCGTCCCGGACGTCCGCACCGGCGTTGCCCCTACGCATGAACGAAAAACTCTGGCGGTAGCCGACGTGATGTTCGCCGTCGAGGTGGTTGATGACGTTCTTGGGCGCGGCCTCGCTGTGCCAGCACCCTGTGCCGTCGGCGACCGCACGCACCTTGCGCCGATCGCGGGGGCTCTTGGTGCGCAGCGGACTAAGAAAGTACCAGACGCGCTCACCGTCCAGAGAGACGGCCGGCTGGAACCTACGCGCCAACTCGTCAGGATCGGCAGAGTAGATGTCGGCCGTGTGCACGTATGCGCCAGCGATGCCCGCCTTGGCGTCGCCCGAGGTCACCCAGGGCCGCAGGAAGTCGTTCACCAGCGTCACGTCGGAAAGCTGCGCGTATAACGCTGCAGCCGGCGACGGCGACGTCGGGCGGGCGCCGTACATTGTTGGAGTAGGAGCCTAAGATCGTCGTCGGTTCCGAGCTGCACGGCGAGCGCGGTGGCGATCGAACGAAAGAGCGCGCGGGCCGGGCTATATAGAGAATGAATGCGACGCGCGTCGGTTACCTTATACCTCTCCTACTCGGACTCGAAAAGACGAGAGGCGGTGTTCTGCGTACGCCACGCGCAGACCGGATGGGCCTCCGACTCCGAGAGTCCGAGCGGAGCAGGTCGGTCGGTCGGTCGGCGGAGGGCAGGAAAGCCAGGGTTCTCTCCCCTTCCTTATCATTACTGGACCTGCCTGATCTTGAAGGCTGGTCGCACACCAAACTATGGAGCCCACTAGATTTTTTAGTAAGATTTGTGGCTTGCACTTCCAAAGTTTGGTGAACGATCACGATCTTGTTTGAACTTCCATATGCCTGCAGATAAAAAAAATTGTATAGTGGACAACCAAATGTTTTGGAAGCCCAACAACACATGATTTTCTTTGTTTATCCAGTTATACATCCAAAATCGACGGCTCAGATCAAATCACTCAATCTCTACCTTATATCCTTCCTTCTTATATCATCAACATATGCACTAGCTTGATTGTGGCTCCTATGTCGCTCACCCCACGATTTTTTTTAATTTTAACACTTTTTGGAAACTAATTTTAAATCTAACACCGTCGGTTTTTTTAAACTAACACTTTTGGCCGCGCCTATTGTCCTGGCGCGGCCAAATACCTGTGTCGCGCCATGCATGGTGGCGTGGCAGAGGGCTGACGTGGCGGCGACCGGAATCGCTGACCGCTGACGGGGTAGGGCCTGCCACGCCACCGATCTTGGCGCAAGTCATCGCGCCTACTGTCCGTGGCGCGCAAAGGCGAATAACCCCGCGCGCCCCCGTCCGCGCTAGTGTACGAAGTTGCTGCAGCAGCGCTGGCAAAGCGCCAAGGCCGCTTTCCCTGCCGCGCATGCCGCCCCCACCCGCCGAGCCTGCTGGCACACCGGCCGGTTCCCGCCACCAAGCCCTGCCACGCCGCATGCGCATCGCCAATCCCAGCCGCCGCCACCAAGCACGGCATTGCCGCTGGCGGTCCGTGCTCGTGGTAGACCCCGACCAAGACGCTTAGCGCCACCCCTCCGCCACAAGACGGTGGCTGCCGCCGAGGCAGCATGCGCGCTTTCCTCTGCCCGGCCGGTCTAGCCTTAGCTGCAGCGAGGTACTCCCCTAATATAGTTAGTATAGTTAATAAAGTTAGTAAAATTATTAAAGTATAGTTAATATAGTTAGTATAGTTAGTATAGGTAATATAGTAAGTTAGTATAGGTAGTAAAGTTAGGTAGTTTAGTTAGTACATTTATTGAGTCTAGTTATACATTGGATTTAATCTAATTAGTTGTTGTAGTTAGCCTTGTATAGATGTTAATATTAGATTAGTTAGTATAGTTATAGTTAGAATATGTATTAATATTACTATGGACATTACGTACGACGATTTCGACGACTTGATGAAGTTTCTTGAAATGGTTTTGCAGATGGATTGTTGTGTTAGAGTTTTGTATGGAGGAAGTGTTAGGAGAGAAGATGGTATGTTTGAGGATATAGAAGAAGAATTGGAATGGTTTGATGAACCTCCTAGCTTCAACGACCTTTGTGTTCGTTTGAATGCAAAGTTTGACTGTGATTTCACACTGAAGGGGAGGTTTAATAGTGGGGAGACTAGGGCACACTATGTCCTCATGCCCTTGCGCGACCCTGCTCACTGGTCCCGCTACACTAGGGTTCTCCAAGGTTCCAATGTGCCCATGGCTGAGGTGGTAGTGGAGAATGGGTACATGATGCAGGGTGTTTAGGACGGACCGTCCATTGATTGTTTTGGAGGCAATGACCAAGAATTAGGGGTCGAAGGGAAAGCAACTCAGGATAACATGAATTTGGACGGTCTGTTGATGCAGGAGCTGTTTCATTCAACTGCAGTAGGTTGTATAAGCAATGACTTCGATGTGAATGATTTCAAACGGGAAGAGGAGGCGCAGGAGGAGGCGGACAGGATCGGTGATGTAGTTAGCAGTGATTCAGACGATTCTGATGATGACCAGAGAGGTACAGATGCTATCCTAACACCGGCTGATGCCATGCTAGTACCGGTTCATACTATGCCATTACCAGTACCAACTGAGGTTTTACATGGTGTCCAGGCTCAGGGTAGACTAGTCATAGATTTGGCTGCAAATGATACCCCCTATGATTCATGGGCTAGAATTAGCGAAGCGCAGCAGTATGTTCCATCACCACCTTACACAGCGACTGAGCTTGAGCAACTAAGGTCCAAGAATGTACCTTTCAGGGGCGTTCCGAACTATAGGGATGTCAGCATGACGGATATGGCAGTTTGTGACACCGGTCTCCAGATGTGTAGGAATTCATTGTATAACCATGAGAAAGAAACCCTTAGGAAGGGGATGATATTCAACACAATGTCAGAGATGAAACTCTTCCTTTAGGACTATGCTGTGTACCATCATAGGCCATACACCGTCACTCATTCGGACCAGGAGTTGATGTACCACGTGATATGCAAAAACGGTTGTATGTGGAGGTTAAATGCACGAAAGAGACAGAGTGATGGCAAGTGGAGGATAACTAAAGTTGTCGAACCCCACACTTGCCTAGACAATAGGGGAAAGGAAAATCATCAGCAGCTCACTGCACGTTACCTTGCCCATCATATATTGGGGCTGGTTGATGACAATAACGACATCTCAGTGTCTTCTTTACAACAGTCCATATCTGGATTCGTTAAGTACGATGTGACATACGGAAAGGCTTGGCGTGCTAAGCAAATTGCTCTGGCGATTCGATGGGGTACTTGGGAGGAAGCGTGCAACAGGGTGCCCTGCATCTTATGTGCAATGCATTACTACAACCCTGGCTTGAAATGGTTTGTGGACACCAGAGGGATGTTTTTTCGGGACCCATTGAGGCATGTCCTCTATCGTGTGTTCTGGTCGTTCGCGCAAACGGAACATGCATTCCAGTTTTGTCGGCCAGTCGTACTTGTTGATGGCACTTTCCTGACAGGAAAGTAGAGGGGCACCTTGATGATGGCTGCTGCTGTTGATCCTGAGGACCAGATACTACCCATGCCTTTTGCTTTGGCAGAGGGAGAGAACAATGAATTGTGGTCATGGTTCATGCGGCTTCTACATGTGCAAGTGCTTGGCCCAACTCGCACTATATGTTTGATCTCGGACCGTCACGCAGGTCTTCTTAATGCTGCAGCTGAGCATATAGATGGGTTCCCTCCTCTAGTACATAGATGGTGCATGAGACACTTTGCTGCTAATTTCTAGCGGTGTCAGCGGAAGCAGGAGGTATGTGACAAGGTAAAGGCTCTATGTTGTGGACGTACAGAGCACCAGTTCAAGGAGACAAAAAGAGAACTAGACAAGATGGTAAATGTAGCGGGAAAGGCCTGGTTAGAGGCGTAGATGGAACATAAGGCTCAGTGGGCATTAGCATATGACGAGGGGGGTTTCAGGTATGGCATCATGACCACTAACTCATCGGAGTCCTTCAACCGTGTATTCACCGGAGTTCGATCGTTGCCTATGTCTGGAATTGTTGAGTTCTCCTTTCATAAGTGCAACGAATATTTTGTGAAGAGGTGGGAACTTACGCAGAGGAATATAGCTGAGCAGGGGCGTTTTGGAAAGGCCGGAGCTAAACATTTGAAGGAGGCTGAGGAATTGGCCAAGCAGCACACCGTCGAGCCGTATGGACCCCGCTGCCATATCTTTAGTGTACGGGGCAAGGGTGGCACAAGCTTGGGCGGCGAACGTTATGGTGGATGAAACTACTGAGTTGATCTTGAAAAGGTAGAGTGCAGTTGCAACGTCCCTCGGATCATGCATGCCCCTTGCTCTCATATGATCACGGCCTGCAGGGTTCATGGGTACAACTATGAGGATCTGCCATATATGTCACCCTTGTATCTCCGTTCGAACACCGTTAGTATTTGGGAGATGAGCTTCGAGCCATACCTTGACCCGACACAGTGGCCACCTTATAATGGTTATGACTACATGCCGCATCCGGATCTAATGAAGGTAAGGAAGGGTAGGAGGAAGAAGAAGCAACTCAAGGGGGACATGGACGCTATGAGAGGGTACGGCGAAGACATGTACGGCGGGGGAGACTTCAACGAGACCCGTGGCAGGAATCTTTGCTCCGTTTGCAAACAATCTGGTCACAAAGCTAGCCGGCATAGAAGACGAGGGCAGTAGGTGATTTCATATTGTGTTCGTATTGCATAACAAGTAGTTCAAATTTTGCAATGCTACATAATGTTAATCTGAATATTATTAATTTGAATACTCTAACCCTTTGTTTATCAATTTGTAACAGGATGGCCCCTCCCACGCCGCACCAGCTGTACCCCCTTCTTGAGGTGGAGTATGACAACCCCCTTCTTCCACCGGACGATGAGGTTTCCACGAGGCGTTCGAGGGATCCTTACATTTCTAGGACTTAGTTCATTACGTCGAACTTATGTCGAACGAATATTGTCGTCGAAAACTTGCAGACTCATAAACCAATGAAAATGTTATGTGGCAACTTGTCGTCCATTTATTTGCTTCATGTTCGTTTCAACTTGCGCACGGTTGCGGCAGCATTTGTAGTTTTGTACAGCACCGATAACAACTCAATTGAAGCTGGATGTTGTCTATCCGCGTCACTGCTGCACAGTCGTCTATGGTGCGGCACTGACGCGCCATGTACTACGGCGCTGTATTCGAGATAATTTCACCCAATTACATTCGTTTTAGAAATTTTGAACACTTGATACAAACAGATGTGATCACTTAAGATCGATCATGGGTAATCCGAGTACATGATACATGGGTACAATACATCAGTAGTTCAAATGGAATATAAGACAACACAATGGAGTTTCTACTACATAGCTATATTGATCATTAATAAAGCATTGAACTAATAGACGACACAATC